CAACGTCCCATGGGTGGGGGAAAGGATGCAAAACGGGGTCCTCCTGGCAGCCCCCCTCCCCCCCCCAACGTGGCTTCACCTGCAGCAGCTGCAGCAAAACAAAACAGAAGAGGAGCAACAGCCTCAAGCGTTTATTGAGGTTCAGTCACGCTGGGAGCTGTTTCCTTGCCCCCTGCCCTGGTCCAGGGCTCTGCCCGCACCGTGGGTGGTGCTGCTGTGGCAGATGTCCCCCAGAGACGGGGGCAAAGCCACACCACAACCCCAACCCCCCCCCCCGGCCCTGGCCAGGCCTCCCAGGCAGCTGAGAGCCAACGCTGTGTCAAAGGCAGAACAAAGCTCATTCGAGCAGCGGCCCAGATGATGCACCGGGCTTGGCCTGGTCTCGGGGCAAACGGCCTCACCCGGGAACCGAGGTAGTACCAAAAGTCATTTAATGGCGGCTGCCCCGCTGAGTTACATTCTAGGACCTGCAGCTGCCGTGAAACACTGGACACCAGCTGACGAGCCATGTCCAAAGCTGCGCTGAGCGCAGCACCTCCAGCCCTTCTGCGAGTTTGCATGCTGCGCACAGGCCCTGCTCCAGCTCCTCCCTGCTTCCCTAATCCTCCTCCAAATCCTTGGCCTTTTTCTTCTTCTTTTTGTCCAGCTGGACAGTCTCTCCTGCTAGTTTCCTTTTCTTCTTGGGCAAGGCCTCTTCCTCCAGCCCGTTCTCCTCTGGCTCTGAGGCAGCCTCCAGCTGCTGCTTCTTTTTCTTCTTCTTTTTCTTGGGCTCTGTCTCGTTTTCCTGAAGGGAAACGTGAGTCAGCAGGAGCCATGCCCAACCCAGGGAGGGGGCCGGGTCCACGTGCTGAGCTGAGCTGAGCAGGCTGGGGCTGCCAGGGCTGCGCTTGGGAGCAAGGCAGGGTCACAGCACAGAACTGGGTGCTTTGCATTGGGCCCAGAGCAGGGAAGACCACAGACCGCAGCCACGTGCAAGGCAGCTCTTGGAGCGCAGCGATGCTTGCTAAGACACAGCGCCCAAGAGCAGGCTCAGTCTTGGGGGCTCGGCCAGACACCAGGTGCCCACACGAGTCCTGCCCCCTCGATGGCTGTCGCCAGCTCAGCCGCCCCGGCCTCGATTCTTCCTTCCGCCTCCCTCAGTGCTGGAGCAGGGTCACCCCACGGGCAGGGAGACACCACGGCTGAGGCACACACAGCCTGGCCCAGCCCTTCTGCCAGCAGGACACGGACAGCAGCCGGCACCTCGAGCCCCTCCGTGCCCCAGGTGAACGCCAGAGGCTGGCACCGGGCGTTCGGCTGTGACAGGCTGGGAATGAGCCCCAGGACTGGCCAGTTCTGTCCTAGCCGGGCCCGGATGGCCAGGAGAAGCAGGGACAGCGCCAGCCCCGTAATGGCACCCTTTCCTCCCACCCTGGGTGCTCCCCGCCTTCACCTCTGTCTCCAGCACCGAGTTCTCCATCTCCTCCGCAGCCGCAGCCAGCGCCTCCAGCCGCCGCTTCTCACGCTTCTTCTTCTTCTTCTCTTTCTTCTCCTGCTTCTTCTTGACTTCAGCCACCACCTCGTTGGCCTGCCAGAGGGCAGAGGCAGCTCTGTCAGCCCAGAAGACATCCCCGCTCTACCCGTCCCAACGGCGCCCGTCGGATCAGTCTCATTAAATCAGTTTTTTGCCTCCAGCTGTGGGTCAGGATGGCAATTTCACATCACGTCCGACAGCGGGGCCCCAACCTGGCCGCCCCTGCCCAGCCCGCCTCACCTCCACCATGGCCTCCTTCATGACCTCCAGGTTCTTGCGCGGCGGCCCGCC